TAGTAATAAATCTAATTGAATTCTAATTGTTTATAGAATTGTCTTATTAAAATTATTTGTCTTAACTAAATCCTAAAGTTATCCTATTTATACTAAATTTATTAATATAAATAAGTAAAATACTAATTGATTACAAATAATAAATAATTAATAATATAAAATTATTAATAATATAAAAGAAATTTTTAGCGACTTCTGGATCTCTCGTGTAATCTTCATTTAATTCATTTCTTTCATCTTTGCTGTCTTTGTTATCTAATATAATATAATTAATGTGACTTCTGATCATATGTATCATATTACATCATTTGAATTAATATTTTCTTATTATACTATAATAAAAAAGGTTCTAATTTAATAAAGTATAGGATTATTTATTAAAAAAAAAGAAGTAAATGTAGGATATTATGATATCTGGACATTTCACCAAAACTGTTTCGTCAAAATCCACTTTGTCAAAGCTGATTCACTGAAAGGATATTTTGCTGAACGTCTATTTCGTCAAATGTTCATTTTGCTGAATAGACTTTTCACTAAAAAAACATTTTGTCGAATGAACATTTCACTAAGTGGATACTTTGCCAAAGTGACGTTTTGCCAAATCTGTTTTGCTGAATAGATACTTCTCTAAATCCATTTTATTAAAAGGATATTTCACCAAAAAAATAGAAATCATGTAGTATTAAATTATCAAAAAAAAGATTTAATCAATTATAAAAATAATAGATAGCAAATAATGTAAATTGAAAAAATTTTTCTTTGTAAGAATGAAAGTTATATTTCATAAAAATCTATTTTTTTCCTCTTATTTTTATCATTCTTTTTTAAGATGGATCTAAATTGAAAAATTTTTAAAAATTTTTCTTTGTAAGAGTAAAAATTCCATTTTATAAAAAGTTTATTTTTTTTCTCCTATTTTTACTATTCTTTTTTAAGATGGATTAAGAAGTCGGTAATCTAATAAATTTAATACGTGGTTAACCTAAATTAATTGCAAGAGGATACCTATTAGTTAGAGATAAAAGTATTAATAAAAGATACTATTAGTGCTATAAATTTAAAGATATTCTTAATTGCAAAGGGTGAGCAATAATGAATTTAGAAAATAAGGAGCATGTATTAAAAATATTTAATGATTATAATTATGCATCCAATGCAAGTTGTATAGAAGTGATTCAAACTCTTAATAATATGAAGGAAGTAGCATCTAATAGATCAAATCAGCTAGTGCAAATAATCTAACGTGCAATAACCAATATGTCTTAAGAATTCTCTTACTTTATGCTTAATACAGGAACAATCTGTAAACAAATTCATTGTATTAGAAGTGTAAACATACCACTACAACCACAAACTTTACAAGATATTAATATTCCTAACTACTTATATAGAACTATAAGTAGAAATCAATTTTTAGGTATTATGTGTTTAACTTGATCAA